TTAATAATTGAGGTGAGCTACAAAGCCTTGTGGCTCTATTTGTATACTATGTTAAGTAGACCCGTGAAGATCCGGTGTAGAATAGGTCTTCAGCTACCCATGCTTGTCGTTAGAGGCGACTAACGGGATCGGGTGGACAGGCTCGTTGACTTGGTTGATGCATGTCACCGTATCCCAATTGCGTGGATCGATGCTCATTATGTCAATCACTGGATTGTCTGGCCCAGACTCGATTATTTACAGACCGCCGTCATATCGCTGGAATATTGCTGAGTGGGAACCTAAACAACAAACAAACAAACAAAACTATGTTAAGTAATAAGCACAATCTACTGCACGTTGTCAACATAATATCGAAAGCTGTGTGTGGTCTACTGTGCAGCAATCGTCATTGTTCGATTGCCTGTACACAGCTGGTACGCGCCTGGTACGACCAAAGCATTAAGCAGGAGGATTACGTTTGACAAAAAATCGATGGGTCTAACTAGAAACGTAAAATTTATGGATCTAGGATTTGTAGGTTTACAAATTATATTATTATTTCATAGGGGCCTATTTCGAACAGTTAGTAGATAGCATTATGTGGCCGTGCGACGGAGATATATGACCGTGAGACGGATATATATGGCAGTAGGAGAGAGATTCGGAGATCACCAAATACTGATATACCAATCCATATTCTCCAACATACTACAATACCATTCCATAGTCTCCAGTATACTAAAATACCATTCCATATTCTCCAACATACAACAATACCATTACATATTCTCCAACTTACTACGATACCGTTTCATATTCTCCAACATACTACAATACCATTCCATATTCTCCAACATACTACAATACCATTCAACATTCTACAACACACAACAATACCATTCTATATTCTCCAACATACTACAATACCATTCCATCTTCTCCAACATACTACAATACCATTCCATATTCTCCAACATACTACAATACCATTTCATATTCTCCAACACACTACAATACCATGCCATAGTCTCCAGTATACTAAAATACCATTCCATATTCTCCAACATATTACAATACCATTCCATAGTCTTCAGTATACTACAATACCATTCCATATTCTCCAACAAACTACAATACCGTTCCATATTCTCCAACATACTACACTACCATTCCATATTCTCCAACATACTACAATACCATTCCATATTCTCCAACATACTACAATAACATTCAACATTCTACAACACACAACAATACCATTCTATATTCTCCAACATACTACAATACCATTCCATCTTCTCCAACATACTACAATACCATTCCATATTCTCCAACATACTACAATACCATTCCATATTCTCCAAACATACTACAATACCATTTCATATTCTCCAACATACTACAATACCATTCCATATTCTCCAACATACTACAATACCATTCAATATTCTCCAACATACTACAATACCATTCAATATTCTCCAACATACTAATATACCATTCCATATTCTCCAACATACAACAACATACTACAATACCATTCCATATTCTCCAACATACTACAACATACTACGTACAATACCATTCAATATTCTCCAACATACTACAACATACTACAATACCATTCCATATTCTCCAACATACTACAATACCATCTCCACTACTATACTATACATGTATATCCGTCCTACTGCCATATATCTCATTCCTACTGCCATACATTTCGGTCTTACTGCCATATATCTCAGTTTTACTGCCCTATATCTCCATCTTACTGTCATACATCTCCGTCTTACTGCAATATATCTCCGTCCTCGTGTCATATATCTCCAACTTACTGCCATATATCTCCGTCTTACTGCCATATATCTCATTCCTACTGCCATACATTTCCGTCTTACTGCCATATATCTCCGTCCTAGTGTCATACATCTCCGTCTTACTGCCATATATCTCCGTCCTAGTGTCATACATCTCCATCTTACTGCCATATATCTCCGTCTTACTGCCATATATCTCCGTCCTAGTGTCATACATCTCCGTCTTACTGCCATATATCTCCGTCTTACTGCCATATATCTCCGTCCTAGTGTCATACATCTCCGTGTTACTGCCATATATCTCCGTCTTACTGCCATATATCTCATTCTTACTGCCATACATTTCAGTCTTTCTGCCATATATCTCCGTCTTACTGCCATATATCTCCGTCTTAATGCCATATATCTCCGTGTTACTGCCATATATCTCCGTCTTACTGCCATATATCTCACTCCTACTGCCATACATTTCCGTCTTACTGCAATATATCTCCGTGTTACTGCCATATATCTGCGGCTTATTCCCATATATCTCCGTGATAATGCCATATATCTCCGTCTTAGTGCCATACATCTCCGTGTTACTGCCATATATCTCCGTCTTACTGCCATATATCTCATTCCTACTGCCATACATTTCCGTGTTACTGCCATATATCTCCGTGTTACTTCCATATATCTCCGTCTTACTGCCATATATCTCCGTCTTACTGTCATATATCTCCGTCTTACTGCCATATATCTCGGTGTTACTGCCATATATCTCCGTCCTAGTGTCATACATCTCCGTCTTACTGCCACATATCTCCGTATTACTGCCATATATCTCCGTCTTACTTCCATATATCTCCGTGTTACTGCAATATATCTCCGTGTTACTGCCATATATCTCCGTCTTACTGCCATATATCTCACTCCTACTGCCATACATCTCCGTCTTACTGCCATATATCTCCGTGTTACTTCCATATATATCCGTCTTACTGCCATATATCTCCGTGATAATGCCATATATCTCCGTCTTAGTGCCATACATCTCCGTGTTACTGCCATATATCTCCGTCTTACTGCCATATATCTCCGTCTTACTTCCATATATCTCCGTGTTACTGCAATATATCTCCGTCTTACTGCCATATATTTTACTCCTACTGCCATACATCTCCGTCTTACTGCCATATATCTCCGTGTTACTGCCATATATATCCGTCTTACTGCCATATATCTCCGTGATAATGCCATATATCTCCGTCTTAGTGCCATACATCTCCGTGTTACTGCCATATATCTCCGTCTTACTGCCATATATCTCATTCCTACTGCCATACATTTCCGTCTTACTGCCATATATCTCCGTCTTACTGCCATATATCTCCGTCCTAGTGTCATACATCTCCGTCTTACTGCCATATATCTCCGTCTTACTGCCATACATCTCCGCCTTACTGCCATATATATCCGTCTTACTGCCATATATCTCCGTCCTAGTGTCATACATCTCCGTCTTACTGCCATATATATCCGTCCTAGTGTCATACATCTTCGTGTTACTGCCATATATCTCCGTCTTACTGCCATGTATCTCATTCCTACTGCCATACATTTCCGTCTTACTGCCATATATCTCCGTGTTACATCCATATATCTCCGTCTTACTGCCATATATCTCCGTCTTACTGTCATATATCTCCGTCTTACTGCCATATATCTCCGTCTTACTGCCATTTATCTCCGTCCTAGTGTCATACATCTCCGTCTTACTGCCATATATCTCCGTGTTACTGCCATATATCTCCGTCCTAGTGTCATACATCTCCATCCTACTGCCATATATCTCCGTCCTAGTGTCATATATCTCCGTCTTACTGCAATATATCTCCGTCTTACTGTCATATATCTCCGTCCTAGTGTCATATATCTCCGTCTTACTGCAATATATCTCCGTCTTACTGCCATATAACTCCGTCTTACTGCCATTTATCTCCGTCCTAGTGTCATACTTCTCCGTGTTACTTCCATATATCTCCGTCTTATTGCCATATATCTCCGTCCTAGTGTCATACATCTCCGTGTTACCGGAATATATCTCCGTCTTACTGCCATATATCTCATTCCTACTGCCATACATTTCCGTCTTACTGCCATATATCTCCGTCTTACTGCCATATATCTCCGTGATACTGCCATATATCTCCGTCCTAGTGTCATACATCTCCGTGTTACTGGAATATATCTCATTCTTACTGCCATATATCTCATTCCTACTGCCATACATTTCCGTCTTACTGCCATATATCTCCGTGTTACTGCCATATATCTCCGTCTTACTGCCATATATCTCCGTCTTACTGCCATATATCTCCGTCTTACTGTCATATATCTCCGTCTTACTGTCATATATATCCGTGTTACTGTCATATATCTCCGTCCTAGTGTCATACATCTCCGTCTTACTGCCATATATGTCCGTCTTACTGCCATATATCTCCGTCCTAGTGTCATACATCTCTGTCCTAGTGTCATATATATCCATCCTACTGACATATATCCCCTTCCTACTGCCATATATCGCCTTCTTACTGCCTTATATATCCTTCCTACTGCTATATATCTCTTCCTACTGCCATATATATCCTTCCTCCTGCCTTATATATCCTTCCCACTGCCATATATCCCCTTCCTACTGCCATATATCTCCGTCCTTCTTCCATAAATCTTTGTTCTAGCACCATATATATCCGTCCTACTGTTATATATCTCCGTCCTACTGCCATATATATCCATCCTACTGCCATATATCTCCGTCCTACTGCCATATATCCCCTTCCTTCTGCCATATATCTCCGTCCTACTGCCATATGTCCCCTTCCTACTGCCATATATCTTTGTTCTAGTACAATATATATCCTTCCTACTGCCATATATCTCCTTCCTACTGCCATATATCTCTGTCCTACTGCCATATATCCCCTTCCTTCTGCCATTTATCCCCTTCCTACTGCCATATATCTCATTCCTACTGTCATACATCTCCGTCCCTCGTACACACATCAGTCCGGACTAGTACAATCTGCCACACACATAATAAACACCACACACACACCCATGCGTGCATGCACGTCGCCAAATAAGTGCAAGAATCGTGAACGGGGCGTTAAACCCCATTTCACCTCACCTCTTTCCCCCCGTCTTGTTGACCCCCGCACGGCCCGCATATGTTTGATTCAGGCAGGTGTAAGCACATATCTATATCTCCAGCGCTATTCTGAAGTGTAACACACTGCCTCAGTGCGACCAAGCGTTAACACAGCCCCCCTCACATCTCTGCGAAGCACTCAGTCCTGTGTGTGTGTGTGTGTGTATGAACTGTGTGCCGAAGCGCTGAGTAATCCTCTCCTCTGCTCGGCTGATATCCAACCATCCCACACGAGCAAGGACGCTGGCTGAACAGGAAAACACCTGTTCGTATTACTGCTGGACACTCTAACTGGACAAAAACACCTGGATTAATACTTACGTGTTTGTGCAGCATTAACGTTTACCTGTGTGTTCTGACCAGGTAAGTACATTCAACTATTTGCTAAGGGGCGTTGTTGCATCCCCATGAACTGTTGCAGTATATAAATAGCTACAGAGGCTAAGTTTTTTCAAAGAGAATGTTTCGTAGAGATGTAGAGGACAACTTAGCAGAACATTGTGAAGGTTTTGGAAAAGCATTGGCAGGAAGGAAGGACAGATTGCTGTCTCTCTGGTAGTATTATCCGACAGGGGCGTGGCTGTGAGACTGGCAGAAGCATTCGAGGGTGGTGAATATATACGTGGCGTTTACCGTGTGTGGGTGGAGGGGGCGATAGGGCTATCGACAGGGAGGCGGGTGAGCGGCTGGGATGGGAAAAACACAAGTAAAACCACCAGTCATTATTATCGACATCTGTCCTATTCTCATGAATTTGCTGTACTGGTCAAAGGCTGTTTTATACGTGTTTGTGCATCATCGAACTATATTTGGCATCGTATTTTCTCTGTAGAACCACGGACCTATGTACACATGTCCGTGGTAGAACGTATTCCCACTAACACTAACATCCTTTATCAGACCTCTCCGACTGTTTCTCGTTGTCCCAAACTCAAAGTCGTTTGAGCCCATGTCTCACGGCAATGAGCTGCCAAACTAAAACTTACAGTGTATAATTGTTCCATCAGTGTCATCAACTAGCGTCAAATGTGACCAGGTGGAAAATGCATCGACGTTCTCTCTGTCTTATAGTATCGGCTGGCGTGTAGGGTGTTCAGGTGTGTGGATGTTAGTGTGTAGTGTGTTCAGGTGTGTGGATGTTAGTGTGTAGTGTACTGTCCCAGCTGGTGTGTAGTGTATTCAGGTGTGTGAATGTTTGTGTGTAGTGTGTTCAGGTGTGTGGATGTTAGTGTGTAGTGTATTCAGGTGTGTGGATGTTAGTGTGCAGTGTATTCTGGTGTGTGGATGTTAGTGTGTAGTGTGTTCAGGCGTGTGGATGTTAGTGTGTAGTGTGTTCAGGTGTGTGGATGTTTGTGTGTAGTGTGTTCAGGTGTGTGGATGTTTGTGTGTAGTGTGTTCAGGCGTGTGGATGTTAGTGTGTAGTGTGTTCAGGCGTGTGGATGTTAGTGTGTAGTGTATCCAGGTGTGTGGATGTTTGTGTGTAGTGTGTTCAGGTGTGTGGATGTTAGTGTGTAGTGTGTTCAGGTGTGTGGATGTTAGTGTGTAGTGTGTTCAGGTGTGTGGATGTTAGTGTGTAGTGTGTTCAGGTGTGTGGATGTTAGTGTGTAGTGTGTTCAGGTGTGTGGATGTTAGTGTGTAGTGTATTCATGTGTGTGGATGTTAGTGTGTAGTGTACTGTCCCAGCCGGTGTGTAGTGTGTTCAGGTGTGTGGATGTTAGTGTGCAGTGTGTTCAGGTGTGTGGATGTTAGTGTGTAGTGTATTCAGGTGTGTGGATGTTAGTGTGTAGTTTATTTAGGTGTGTGGATGTTACTGTGTAGTGTACTGTCCCAGCCGGTGTGTAGTGTATTCAGGTGTGTGGATGTTAGTGTGTAGTGTACTGTCCCAGCCGGTGTGTAGTGTATTCAGGTGTGTGGATGTTAGTGTGTAGAGTGTTCAGGTGTGTGGATGTTAGTGTGTAGTGTGTTCAGGTGTGTGGATGTTAGTGTGTAGAGTGTCCAGGTGTGTGAATGTTAGTGTGTAGTGTATTCAGGTGTGTGGATGTTAGTGTGTAGTGTATTCAGGTGTGTGGATGTTAGTGTGTAGAGTGTTCAGGTGTGTGGATGTTAGTGTGTAGTGTGTTCAGGTGTGTGGATGTTAGTGTGTAGAGTGTCCAGGTGTGTGAATGTTAGTGTGTAGTGTATTCAGGTGTGTGGATGTTAGTGTGTAGTGTATTCAGGTGTGTGGATGTTAGTGTGTAGAGTGTTCAGGTGCGTGGATGTTAGTGTGTAGTGTGTTCAGGTGTGTGGATGTTAGTGTGTAGTGTGTTCAGGTGTGTGGATGTTAGTGTGTAGAGTGTCCAGGTGTGTGAATGTTAGTGTGTAGTGTATTCAGGTGTGTGGATGTTAGTGTGTAGTGTATTCAGGTGTGTGGATGTTAGTGTGTAGTGTATTCAGGTGTGTGGATGTTAGTGTGTAGAGTGTTCAGGTGTTGATGTTAGTGTGTAGTGTATTCAGGTGTGTGGATGATAGTGTGTAGTGTATTCAGGTGTGTGGATGTTAGTGTGTAGAGTATTCATGTGTGTGGATGTTAGTGTGTAGTGTACTGTCCCAGCCGGTGTGTAGTGTGTTCAGGTGTGTGGATGTTAGTGTGCAGTGTGTTCAGGTGTGTGGATGTTAGTGTGTAGTGTATTCAGGTGTGTGGATGTTAGTGTGTAGAGTGTTCAGGTGCGTGGATGTTAGTGTGTAGTGTGTTCAGGTGTGTGGATGTTAGTGTGTAGTGTGTTCAGGTGCGTGGATGTTAGTGTGTAGTGTATTCAGGTGTGTGGATGTTAGTGTGTAGTGTGTTCAGGTGTGTGGATGTTAGTGTGTAGTGTGTTCAGGTGCGTGGATGTTAGTGTGTAGTGTGTTCAGGTGTGTGGATGTTAGTGTGTAGTGTATTCAGGTGTGTGGATGTTAGTGTGTAGTGTATTCAGGTGTGTGGATGTTAGTGTGTAGTGTGTTCAGGTGTGTGGATGTTAGTGTGTAGTGTGTTCAGGTGTGTGGATGTTAGTGTGTAGTGTATTCAGGTGTGTGGATGTTAGTGTGTAGTGTGTTCAGGTGCGTGGATGTTAGTGTGTAGTGTGTTCAGGTGTGTGGATGTTAGTGTGTAGTGTGTTCAGGTGTGTGGATGTTAGTGTGTAGTGTGTTCAGGTGTGTGGATGTTAGTGTGTAGTGTAGTGTCCCAGCCAGCGTGTAATGTGTGAAGCTTTAGAATGTAAGGAGGGATAACGGAAGCCGGTGTTGATCCTCACCACGCACCAAGCCGCTGTATGTGTACCTGTTCCCGTAGCTGTGTCAACATCGTTGTCGTTACAGACTCTATAAACTGTGTCAGGTCAAAGGAAGGTCATCACCTCCCCCTGCCCCCCTCGGTGTTACAGCTTCATCTCCAACTTGTCCCCTCTTCACGCTCAACCATCCACAATGCGCATATCGTGTACATGCGACCATCCCCCCCCCCCCCCCCCCCCCCCTCCCTTCAAGTAACTCTCTCCACTCACTGCGCGCATTGTATGTTTATTTGTATTATTTGTATTTTAAAACCCTGCATCAATCTAACGTCATACCCCTGCTCTCCCCCCTCCTTTTCAAGTCGATCGCTTCAACCACTTCCCGTATTGTAAGCTTACTTTAAAAAATGCACCAGTCCTGCGTCACTGTGCTGCCATCCCCGCCTCCTCCCCCTACAAGCTACTCGCTTCATCTACAACATAAACCACGTGGTCTAATGGAGGGTGACAGTCACTGGGGTTCGACATGGTCCAGTTGAGCAGTGTGGGTGATAAGACAGGGGGTATGACACCATCTCCTCCCCTCACCCCTCTCTACCACCGTGCTGATGTGTACACGTACATCCAGCACCCATCCAACGCCATCCCCCTACACCCTCACACCCCCCCCCCCCCCCCCCCCCCCCTCCCCATCCCCGCCTTTGTTCACCCACTTCATCTACTGACGTACGTGTACACGTACAACCTTGCTATGCCGCCCTCCTCTATCCCGCAATGTAAACTCGTTCATCTGAACGATGGATGGTTCCACTCTGTCCAGGGGGCACGGGTGGCCCAGTCGTCTAGCCTAGGGCGCCGCGATTCTCTGTGCAGAGTTGCGTCCCTTGGGCACGCAAGAAACCTATGATTGTGGGTTCGAATCCCGGTTCGCCCCGATTATGTTTCTAGGTTTGTCAGAACTATCCCTTTGGGTTTCACCGAAGTGGTTAACGTCTGAGACCTGCAACACTTCGGGCTTTCCTCCCACATTAAGCTGACACGCCGGGATATAATTGGAATACTTTTAAAGCGGCGTTAAACCAAACTCCTCACTCACTTTGTCCATGCATGTGATTCAGTTCAGTTTATCCTTGCTACTTTGCAAGAGCTCTCTACTTCGGTGACATGAACATTATTGATTTATAAGGTTTTTGTCATAGTTACAGTCTAATGTGACGATATATATCTCACAAGCGGTATCATATGTCAATGAATCATACTGAATGACACAGCTACTACAAGCTGTCACTGTTTACCTGAAAAGTGTAAAGTTGACTTTGGGAAGCTGTTATGTTGTACAGGGCGGTGTGGTAGCCTTGTGGCTTAGGTGTTCGATCGTCACGCCGAATACCCGGGTTCGATTCCACTCATCAGCACAGTCCATGAAGTACATTTCTGCTGTCCGTCCCCGCTATATCGCTAGGAGAGCGCTAACAGCGGCGTTAAATCATATTCACTATCATATTCTGTGTTATTCGGTAACTAACGTGTAGCTTAATGGATAAATCATACCTGCGCCATACACATATACCCAATGTATGTAATAATTATCATATGCAAGTGATCAAAACCACGATTTTCGCATAAAATTGTTATTTCTGAAACGTAAAGTGTCTTTGTTGAAACCATGCAAACCCGATTATAAAGAAATAATTCGGTTTATTACCCGTATGGTTAGAAATAACCGAGTTCGTAAAAATTGTTTGAAGCCGGCGTATCAGAGCAGTCATGTCGTACTTCTGTTTGACAGATTAGTAATAGTTGTTTTAGGAGTTTGGGGTTTTAAGAGTTTATACCCACACATAATATTTGAAGAATTCGAGAATCGAGACACGCATACCTTCATGCACTGTCGAGAATCAAGACACGCATACCTACATGCACGTGTTATTGCAAGTTTTGCTGTCGCCATAGTGATGACCTTTAACTCGTAATACAAGACAGGAACGTTAATCCCATCTGGTGGTCTCTTACAAAGGGTTATCTGCCAAATCTGTTCCTAATACACGACCGTCCATTACATTCTTCTAACGTCAACCTCTCATAAGTTAGAAGAACTATTTGTTTTGTTGATTAACATCAGCCTCAACGTGAAGGGAGAGAGATGGACCGCCACTACTACCACCAGCTTGTCACTGTGTTTACAAGAAGGGATAGAGCGTGTTCCTTCTGCTCTGACCTTCACACAGCCCTAATTACGTGCGGAGGGGTAGTCTTGTTGTTAAAGCGACGCCGTAAAATCACACTCACCCAATGCAGAATGTGTCTGTTACCTAATGTGTCCCCATAAACACCTAGATTAAAATGGAAATGTGTGTTTGCTTGTTTGTCGACTGTTGTTCAAAGGAATATATAACTATATGACAACGGTCCAAACCGATCCAGTTAATCGCCGCTTACGGCAAGCATGGGTTGCTGAAGAACTATTCTGTACCCTGATCTTTCACGGATCAAGAGGAGACTAACGGGATGGGGTGATGAGGCTCGCTGATTTGTTTGATGCATGTTATAGAATGTGTAGATCGATGCTCATGATATTAATCACTTGATTTTCTGGTCCAGACACGATTACATGTCATATAGCTCGAATATTGCTGAGTGGCATTAAACAACAAACAAACACAACACTTCCGTACACAAGCACACGAGGCAGTGTTGTGGTCTATAAATAGCTGAACCAAATACTCAGGCCTATCGTGTGGATAATATTATATAAGCGTGGGCTTGTGACTAACATACTCACATGATACACCGCCGTCACGAGCGTCGTTATTGGGAATGCATCATTGAGGTCAGCATCCTTGAAGCTATACACGGTTAAAAGGGTACATACCCGCCCGAATCTGGGAACGACCATCTGTATTCTGCGTCTTAACTTGTTATATTTAGGATAGAACCAGGCAGCAAGTTCAGCGGATAAGGTACGTACATATGACGGGTGTCGTCACCTGCCTATACCGGACAACTTGTTGTATGGCTCAACTCCGTGAAGGGTTTCTCATATAATTAACAGGGCGGGTATCAAATGTGTTCGTGCCGAAAACAGAGATAACATGGAGTGTTGTTGATATTAGAATATCGTGAATAGCGAAGTGTCAAGATTAGCGAGGTGTCTGGACTAGAGAGGTGGCTGTATTAGCGAGTTGTCAAGTTTAGCGAGGTGTCTGGACTAGAGAGGTGGCTGTATTAGCGAGGTGTCAAGATTATCGAGGTGTCTGGACTAGAGAGGGGATGTATTAGCGAGTTGTCAAGTTTAGCGAGGTGTCTGGACTAGGGAGGTGGCTGTAATAGCGAGGTGTCAAGATCAACGAGGTGTCTGGACTAGAGAGGTGGCTATACTAGCGAGGTGTCAGAACCGGTTATGCTGTAAACTACTGCAGCTGGTATAATGGATACGGGTTTGATTGACACGATTGTCTGTAAACTCGTTCATCAGAAAAAGTAAATGTGAATATCACAAGGTATAGAAAACGTGGTGTGATATTATGTTTGTCATACTCAGGAATGCGGTCCGTATTTGCATCCTGACGTTACGGCCTTTATCTGAAGGGCAGGCGGTTATATGATTATCCACCGAGATCAAAGATATACCTGCCCTGACTCACTGTATTGTTTCACAGGACCAAGACCTTGGCTCACATAGGCTGACGAGATAAGGGGCGGTCGGGTAGCCGAGTGGTTAAAGCGCTCGCTCGTCACGCCGAAGACCCGGGCTCGATTCCCGACATGGGTACAATGTGTGAAGCCCATTTGTGGTGTCCACCGCCGTGATATCGCTGGAATATTGCTAAAAGCGGCGTAAAACCATACTCACTCACTGACCAGATAAGTGGATCTGTTGTCACACGTATTGGCAATTGCGTGTACCAGCGGGGTGTCTTGTATGTTGCGGAACCCTTGTACTAGCAGTGTCAGGACCATCTTCCCGAGGCAAGCGTGTCCACTAAACTGTATCAGAGCCTAGTTTTTACCCTTGCCACATCAAGGCCACTTTTCTTGGCTCGGCCCTGGTATACCTCGCGTAGATCACGAGTTGTGCCCCTTGTAATGAAAACGCGATATCCAATCAGATCGCTGTTCTTATCTCGTACAGCTTCACAAAGATGGCGACTACCATAGGCGACGGCCAAGTTGATCAGTCAACGAAAACATGCGCGATTCATCCCTGACACAAACACACTGGCAATCGTTGGGGGGTTTAAAAGATGAAAAGACATATTCCAGCGGTGAATCACTTTCATACGAAGGTGTACTAGTCGTAGATTTTTGATTTGGTGAAACGTACTCTGATTGGACTATCGATATTTTCGATAGTCCAATCATATTGAGAACTGGAAAGGGGACTTGATTTGGCAAGGGTGGAAATAAGACTTGGATAAAAAGGCTAGTGGACGCTCTTGCCTCGGGGAGATTGTCAGAACTAGCTGTGTTGCAGTATACTGAAATTTCACTTGTACTAACAGGGTCTCAGGGTATCAGGGTATACTGAGATCTCTAGGTCTCCTGTACTAACAGGGTCTCAGGGTAGCAGGGTATACTGAGATCTCTCCTGTACTAGCAGGGTCTCAGGGCTGGGCGTGTCGTAGTATACTGAAATCTCTCCTGTACTAGCAGGGTCTCAGGGCTGGGCGTGTCGTAGTATACTGAAATCTCTCCTGTACTAGCGAAGCGTCAGGGCTAGTCATGTCGCAGTATACAGAAATGTCACTTGTACCAGCAATATGACAATTTACATGTCTTTTCTATACCTGATATGCTGACAGAGGGACACCTTGACGTTAAACACACATTGTAGCAGAAACTTGCTGTACGATAGAATCAGGACAAAAACCTACCCTCCCAAGAAATAGATTACCCCCCGATAACTGAATCTAAGTCCATCTGCCCCTGCCTCTGTAAGTGACCCTTCGTCACATACCTGCCATACCACAACATCCAATAGTCCTATAGGAAGATCACACGGCGTGAAATTGGATACTTAACCGGCCAGGTATCTCTGTCATGACGCCCCACTGTGGGACCATAGTTCAGTTTATACTTCTACAGTGACTGCTGAGTTGTCGTTTTCTAAGGCGTTCCAGTGTGAGGTATTATGTATGAAGTTCTGAAAATGTTTAGGGTGTTGAGCGAGCTGCGTGGGTAGACAAACAGGATTAGTGACATTACTGTAGCTTACAAAACGCTCAATGACGCATCGCGGTCACGGTTGGCTGAGTGAGTGAGTGAGTGCGTGAGTGAGTGCGTGAGTGAGTGAGTGAGTGAGTGAGTGAGTGAGTGAGTGAGGGTATGGGAGTGAGTGATTGAGTGAGTGAGTGAATGAGTGGGTGGATGGGAGTGAGTGAGTGAGTGAGTGAGTGTATGGATGGGTGAGTGTATGGGTGGGTGAGTGAGTGAGTGAGTGAGTGAGTGAGTGAGTGAGTGAGTGAATCTTGTTTTACGCCGCTTAATGAGACACATGCACATGCGAGTGTAAAATAATGTGTCAGTCTATACACTTATCAATTACCGATGGCCACACCCAGCCTTGAACCCCTTCCAATGAGTGTACTATGTCAAGGACACGCAAAGGCGATGCGCGATCACGAGCACCTGTGACCAGAATCACTGTACACAATCCACCTCCGCACAGCTAATCTCGCACAATGGTGGGGGTATAAATATCCACGTCGTTACGCCAAACCTAGATCCCCATACTGTCTGTTACAAGCGAGCTTCGTGTGAGTATGTGCGGCATATGTAATAATGGCAATTATCGCATATGGGTACTGAATATACATGTACTTTTTTGCGTATTTGGTTTCAGTATTTTTTAAATGATACATTTGAAAATTTGGTGTCCTAAAGTTTACTGATGCCTGTTTAGCAGCAGGGCACAACCATGTTAACATCCATCTTTGATGATGGGGGGCGGTCGGGTAGCCTAGTGGTTAAAGCGTTCGCTCGTCACGCCGAAGACCCGGGTTCGATTCCCGACATTGGTACAATGTGTGAAGCCCATTTGTGGTGTCCCCCGCCGTGATATTGCTGGAATATTGCTAAAAGCGGCGTAAAACCATACTCACTCACTCACTCACTCACTCTTTGATGATGGCTATAAAGAAATACACAGGAAATGGCTTTTTATAGACTGGTTTCAGCCTGGTAGCGTTCACGTTTCGATAACGTTTGTAATATGTCAGTGTGCTTGTGTATGTATACGTATGCACTTGTACATTCGCGTTGTTATGGACCTGTGTCTGTGTACTGTTATGCTAGTATGCTATATACAACTGTGCCCGTATGAATCTTTGTGTGTTTGTATGTTTGTATGCTAGTGTACGTATGCTCCTACGTGCCTATCGACCCGTGAAGATCCGGGTTAGTCTTAATGATCAGTAACCCATTCTTGCTTTGAAAGGCGACTATGCTTGTCGAATGAGGTGACTAACGGGATCGGGTGGTCTGGCTCGCTGACTTGGTTGATGCATGTCATTGTATCCCAGTTGTGTAGATCGATGGTCATGATGTTTGTCACTGGATTGTCTGGTCCAGACTCGATTATGTACAGACCGTTATCATATAGCTGGAATATCGCTGAGTGCGGCGTTAAACAACAAACAAACCAATACATGTCTATGAGTATGCTTGTATACGTATACATAATTATGACCTTATTTTTTATGTGTATTTGTATCATATGCATGTTATATGTCCGTGTCTGCCATATTCGTATTTGTCTGGTTGTATATGAATACACGTGTATGCTAGTTTTCGAAACCTTGCGGGGTTCTAAACTGCAAAACAAACAAACAAAAGCTTATATCCAAAGTCCGGTAAGATGTATTCAAGCTATCGTGTCATTGTTAAGCGAGCGTCGGTACATTCAAATGCAACCGCATCGTGATCTTATTCAAGCGAAATAAAATTAACCTTTTCTACCCACAGAAAATGGGTCTCGGTGAAGGTCAAGGTGAAGGTCATGGCGACGGTCAAGGACGCGGTGGAGCCGGAATAATCTGGGCAATACTCTGGTTCCTCGTGCTCATCTTCCTAGGATGGCCAATCGGCTTCTTCATCGCCTGGCTCTACGTTCTGCTTCTGCCCTTCGGCGCCTGCATCAGCCCCATCAAGGACGTCTGCGACACCATCCTGCGTCTTGTACAACTCCCGTTCACGTGCGCTGAGAACATGGTGAACATGAAGCCCATGTGCTCATAAATCAACATCATCAACATCATGAACACCATCAACATCAAGTCTTCCAGATAAACATGAACCCATATATTTAAATCTCTCAACAACTTATGTGTTTTCCCGGGAAAAGGCTTCCAAAGAAGATGCTCATGGATGGCCTTGTTTAATCTTGTCTGAACTCGAAAGTGACCAGCAAAACATTAACATATTGGCCTTGTATTATGTATTTGTGGTTGTAAGCACATGAAACTGATTTTTATTCGTGTGAGGTTAAAAGTTCTTTGAGAATCAAATATCAGTGTTACTCCTGATCAAGTGATGTTCACTCTAGGATGTCCCATTGGTAGCGTCACGTGGTTAAAAGTCCAAGGTACTGAAGGCTATATGATAAGCACCGTATCGTATTGAAGTGGGGTCAGATAGATCGTTTTCACCCATATTTTCAAATTCTTTGCTGCATGTCATTCGAGTTGGAAGACAATGTGGAGTGGGGTGTGTGTGTGTGTCGGGGGGATGCCTCGTACCTCGAAATGCCTTATATCCCTCGCCATGAACGGTTTCTTTCGGAAAAAACATTTTGCTCACGAAGACATGTCCATACAGAACCTTCTTTATCCAAATATGTCCCCATCAAATCGAATCACCTCCAGATGTAAACTGTCGGGCAAAAGAAAGTATACCTTTAGGAACTGTATCTGACCCAACAAATACAAACGTTCTTAGGCTCAAAACAGTTGCCGATACACTGCAAGATTAAGGCCCTAAAACACATCTATGATCTCAAACCCATCACCATCAAATAATTGTTTGTTGTTTTCGTTTTTAGCCACTATAAAACATGGGTGTAGACTCTCTTTGCCCGGCTGTTGTGAACATGGCTTCTGGTGATCACCGCTTACGATCCGTTTGTCTGTACCTATAATTTCCAAAAGGATATACCGAGAAACGGCTGTAGGATTCATCAGACATGTAGTGAACAATAATTGATGTACATGTAGTACCCTCTGGTTCAAGTGTGTTAGAAATCCATCCATGGATTAAATTCGAGTTCATTTGCTTCGTTTCGGAAGCTATGTCGCCATCTCATCAAAAACGATCCACAAAAAATTCTCTCGCACATGAGTGCGTTGTGATTGGCTGACTCCAAACTATAGTAGTTAATGGTTGCGGGATATTTTTGACAATACAGGGTAGATATAGTACCCTGGATAAACGAAATGCTGATTTCCTATAGCAGATGGGTGAACAGGGATATCTTAGTGATCTTGGCCACCATGTTAGTTCCTTAGAAGCTAGAGTTTCATGCAATATGTTATAACACTGGTCCCCATTTGAATTCCGTGTTGGAACAGATCCCCAGGCAGAAATCTATGCTGGTCGTAAGAGGCGGCCGAAAGGTTCGGGATGTCAGGCTCGGTGACTTGCTTTAAAGCATGTCCTCGTACCCCGAGGGGGCACGGGTGGCCCAGTCGTCTAAGACGCCCCGATTCGCTGTGCAGAATTGTGTCCCTTGTAGCGACACGAAATCTATGATTGTGGGTTCGAATCCCGGTTCGCCCCAATTATGTTTCTAGGTTTGTCAACACCATACCCGTGCTCCTGGGTTACACCGAAGTGGTAAACGTCTAAGACCTGATTCATTTCGGGCTTGCCTCCCACATTAAGCTGACACGCCGTGATATAACTAGAATACTGTTAAAAGCGGCGTTAAACCCAACTCACTCACTCACTCACCTCCTACCCCGACGACGTGGACCGTTACTCATAGCGTCGATCACTGGAATGTCTGATTAATTAAACACCGCCGTGGTATAGCTGAAACCTTTCTGAGTCCAGCGTTAAACAATAAATAAACAAACAAGATACACGCTGAACTATTGTGACAATTAATGTGCCAAGCTGTTCTTTTGTGATATGATACCACTGAGTAACGGTATGTCGGTCATGTTATCCAAGGTCATTGGGAAATAGGATGCAGGAACGGAGGGAATGTGATGGAGGTGAGGGGAGGACGGGGGTACGGGTGTTAGGGGTAAAGGGGAGTGATTCATGAGGGGGATCGGTGCTTGGGGGTGGGGGGTGGGGGTGGGGGTGGGGGTGGGTGTTGTTTTAGAAAACAGTTTTATTTGAATCAAGATGGGGACAAGTGATACTTGTACAAATATTGCCCCCCCCCCCCCCCCCCCCCCCCCCCCCCTTGTCAAATTAAGTTAACTACGGCCTTGGGGATGCTTTTCTATCAACAATGTTTGAAAAGGTCAATACTGTTGTCCTCAGGTTTTGCCCAGAGCTGGATATACTGGGTGCTTTGTAAACCATAGTAAATTAATGTTCGTTTACATCAGTATGTGTCTCCTCCGTGTTTTGTTACGCTGAAATAATATTCTGTTTCAAATTAAATTCTAAAGAACCTTGCACCCAATAATTTTAAAAGGTCAGCTCAAAATGTCGACCACAACATGCGCGGTGCTATCTACATCACTACGTACTGCCATAGTGTGTGCCCAGTTATCATTATGAAATACCCGTTCTGAACATATCAGAATGGGTTTATATATTAACATACGATATATTACAGATTTATATCTCTCAAGGTGTAAACAATAGTTTACTTTGTGTTATACTTGTAAACAATAACAAATAAATATTGCTAAAAATAAGATTTTTTAAAGTATTTAGTTGATCTGACTATTGCTTGAAGAATTGGATTTCAGTTTTCGACGGAATATTCCGGAGTTGAATATGAAACAACGTATCATGTAATTGACACTCTCCAGCAGCGTTAAGTTTCATACATACCGCAAGCTGTTCTCATCAATACACTTCTATGTTACTGGGTATTACTAAAAAGCCTTGTTCTAACGACCGCATCCGTGGTCTGGTGGTCCGGGGTTTGATTCCCGGCCGCGTCATACCAAAAGACGTTAAAAGATGGTACTTGTTGTTACCCTGTCTGGCGCTCGGCATTAAGGGGCTAAAACAAGGACTGGTCGGCTCGGAGTCAGTATACTGTGTCTGAGTGGGGTATTCATGTTAAACTGCGGCATGGTATCTCAGTGGGCTAGCACAATAAATCGGCATCAGTCCGGACTAGTACAAGCAGCCACACACACATACACACGTGCATGCACGTTGCTATATAAGTGCAATAATCTTGGACGCAACGTTAAACCCAATTTCACCTCACCTCACCTTGTTCTAACTCTGTAACGCTACTTGCAACCTTGGCAATGATTACTGGCCGAATCGCCTCTGTGGTCAAGTGTTAAAGCATACGCCCGGAGAGCTGAAGGCACGGGGTTCGATCCCCGGCCGCGTCATGTGGTACTTGTTGTTACCCTGTCTGTCGCTTGGCATTCAGGGGCTAAAACAAGGACTGGTCGCCTTGGAGTCAGTATACTATGTCTGAGTGGGGTTTTCATGTTATATCAATCAGGCTTTATTCCTGGGAGGTGCGGGGCACGGGTGACCAAGTCGTCTAAGGCGCCACGATTCGCTGTGCAGAGTTGCGTCCCTTGGGCGCGCCAGAAACCTATGATTGTGGGTTCGAATCCCGGTTCGCCCCGATTATGTTTCTAGGTTTGTCAGCACCATACCCGTGCTCGTGGGTTTCACCGAAGTGGTAAACGTCTGAGACCTGCATCACTTCGGGCTTTCCTCCCACATTAAGCTGACACGCCGCGATATAACTGGAATACTGTTAAAAGCGGCGTTAAACACAACTCACTCACTCCCGGCAGGTGCTGATGACGTCCAAGGCCTATAGTCAGGGGTGTGTTACAGATGCATACACTTTCTTAGTTTCACAGAATGCTAAATGAACATTTAACTGTACATCCACATGTAATTAATTTACCAATTTCTTACACATATGGATTGTGGTAAAAGTAGTGGCTTGGATACGTTGCTCTTAAATCAGTATACCCTGAATATACACTGTTTTGTTTTTTTATCACGGCGTGTCACAATCATAGGTTTCTGTTGTGCCCAAGGGACGCATCTCTGCACAGCGTCTGACGACTGAGCCCCCGGTGCAGCCCTCTTCAGGTGAGAAGTCATGTTTCGAGAAATATAAATATTAATCAATATTTACTATGTTATCCTATTTACTTTCACAAGTGTTCCAATCTAACCACCTAAAATATTTTATATTCTGAATTAAGAGTCATACTTATATGTGGGGATGGGCGGAGGGCACGGATGGCCCAGTCGTCTAAGGCGCCGCGATTAGCTGTGCAGAGTTGCGTCCCTTGGGCACGCCAGAAACCTATGATTGTGGGTTCGAATCCCGGTTCGCCCCGATTATGTTTCTAGGTTTGTCAGCACCATACCCGTGCTCGTGGGTTTCACCGAAGTATAAACGTCTGAGACCTGCATCACTTCGGGCTTTCCTCCCACATTAAGCTGACACGCCGTGATATAAATGGAATACTGTTAAAAGCGGCGTTAAACCCAACTCACTCACTCACTTATATGTGGAGGAAAGTAAGGGAGCTATGTAGTAAGATTGCTCAGAGGAATATTGTAGAATTGACTTATGGTACATGTTTCAGTGTGATGCGTTAGTGATTGTGGAGTGACGTTGGTTCGCAGTGAAGGATTATACTATTGGCAACACTTCAATGGATTGTGTCATATCATGCGCACAGTAAAGCGCAGTTGCCTCCCTTTGACTGTGATGAGATTACCTCTCAACCATGATAGTTTCGGGTATCCGTCTCATACCTCCTGTTTGTAAACACGCTTTTCATAATACAGTTCATCGCGGCCATAATTCATGTCATGGATGGCCAAGCTCCTCACAGCGATAAGCCCGTTCGCTGAGCTCTCTGAACTGTCGCTGCCACCAGTCAAAGCTCCTCACAGTGATAGGTGGCTACAACCATGCTTGGAGTTGAACTCACAACCGTTTGACCGTTATGTTTACAAACAAGTGATGAGAGCAGCGACGCAAAATACTCTTACCACAGCTTAAATATTCTCTTTGTTTGTCAATTTGAATTTCTATTTCATTCCTACTATCATGTAATTGGTATATTAAGAATGTAACGGCGAAGTTAAGTAATTTTCCGTTAGTCTGTAATTTCGAACCAATCTGATTATATAAACAAAAAAGTAAATTCATCTGGAAAACATGGTCAGTCGTAAAACTTTTCAATATGAACTATGATGGCATTCCCGAAGTCGTAAACAAAAGTATGAACGTTAATACATTTGGATTGGAGGGTAAATTTCAAGATGGCCGCTCACAGCGATGTTATCGAGAGTGTCACGTAGGTGTCACGTGCTGGGAAGGAGCTTGACCGATGGAGAGAAAGTACATACCCATGTTTGATGGTGGCTACAAATTAAACAAACGCGAAATGGATGGTAACTCGATGGTAATGTGACTGTTTTCAGCCTAGTGACGTTTTATAGCGGTTGTAATTTTTTGTTTAGTTTGTTTTCAATACTAAAACACAAATTCTTCAGGGACTGGTTAATTATTATGGGATATAGGGGATGGGACGATGGGGTTGGTTTTAGGACTGTATCATGTTTTCCCATACCTCCAAATACCTGCAACTTTGATAAAAGTTGAAACCCCTCTCTCGAGTTGAACTATGGATGTTGGATCTGGAGAGGGAAAAACAAAAAATAAAAATCTAGGATTCGGTTCCAGAACAGTTTATTCCCGACTCGATCCTGTCCAGTTACATAAACTTCGGACAGTGCGTAGGTGTCGCACTCGGTGTCGGAAGGCTGTGTGGAGTTCAGAGTAACAGACGACTACAGACATTCAGCACGCATACACTGAAACGAAAACAAGGCGAATGTTAATTGAAGAATGTGTTCACTTGGATCGATTTAAACTTAACTAAACTGTAGTGAAATATAGCTGATAGATGTGTTTGTTATTGTGAATATCTACAGCGAGACATTCACAGGGGAAAAGTCAAATATTATTCAAAAAGACACCATCGATTATCG